TGCTAAATTCTTCGAGAGAAAGACATAGCTAGTTCGTAAGCGGTTAACGTAGTGCAGCGGGAACCGACGATCGATTGTATCCTGGGAATCAAACACCAATCAAAACCTCGTACACCCTAGTGAGGCGACGAATTCGATTTAAGGAAACCGTGTGAACACGGGCCTTCGGTTTGGTTTGATATTCTTTGATTCTCCATTATTTTATCCCACATTTTCAAAATAGAGGGCATAATAGAACAATCCAGTACTTGTTGAAGAACAAGAATTTTGAGGAAATTTTAATCGGGATAACCAAGAAACATCAGAAGGGGAAGTTGAAGTAGGAGAAGAGAGTGATGGGGTTGTGAAGGTTGTTGGGATACCGGAGAGAGTGATGGTTATGTGGGTCGAGTCGATTTTGGCCCAAAATCGACCCGACCCACAATTATTTTAAATTTATTTTACTTGACCCGGATTTATCCCTAAACCGACCTAACCCCTGAATCGGGTCTGGTTTTTGGGCTGTGGTTTTCGGGCCCACCCCTGGTGATGAAAGAGGAAAGAAAAGTTATTGATGTGATTGAAATATTATGAGACAATTACCTAGAAACCTACATTTAAAGACTAATTTTCAAAAATGAGGTGCTTTAATTTTTATTTCACAAATCAGGTGTTAATTAGGTTTTTCACCCCTACCCACCCAATTCAAATTTCTCTCTCTAATCATTCTCTCGTCTGTTTTCACCACCACCCACCTATATCTCGTTGTCGGAGGTGAAACGTAGATGCGAAATTGGACTGAGAGCTCCGTGATTGCCTGTTGATGGCACTGAGAGTATTTGTGTTCATTAGGCGATTTAATGCTGGCACGGAACGTCCTGAGAGTGCTATCTGTCGTCGTGGAAGGCGCAACGTCGACGCGAAATAGGACTGTGTCGCTGCGAGCAGCGACATCTCTAGTTTTGCGTGGTGGTATCTTCCACTGCGTCCAAGCAGAATGTTTCTTTTTGGTTCATAGTTGAATATTCAAGCCCCTCCTTTGCCTCCCTCTATTTTTTCCCCAGTTGATTCGCCAAGGTCCCCAGGTGATTCTGGCATCAAGACTAGGAATTCTCATGTAGGTTCGTTTTCATTTAGCTTATCACCTTCTTCCGTGAAGAAATTCCATTTGGTTCTTTGAAATCTGGTGTTTTTAGTAGCCTTTCGTGAGGACTATACATTTGGTTCTTTGATCTTTCTTTAGAGGTGAGAAAGCATTTTGTAGCATTTGTTGCTGGTTGATGGAGTTTGTCAGTGGTTTTTCTGATTTGATCTATTGTGGGTTTACACTGTGGGTGGTTTGTTGGTAGTTGGTTTTCTGATCAGATCTACTACTTAGCCGAAGTTTTGGGTGTGATGTTTCATTTTCGATCTATAAAATTTTGGGGGTCGTTTTGCAAATTGTGGTGCAGGTAGTGGTCATTGCCCCATTGAGAATTCTGGTATTCCTTTCTGTCTAAATTCATCAGGTTAATGCCAAAAGCTCAAATTCTACAAAATCTTCATATTCAAACTTAATTTTGAATCAATTGATTTTTAGGGAAAATGATGAAGATTGTTTTTAGTGGCCTCGCGGCCTCAGCCCCGCTTTGTGGCAATGGGGATAAACTGTGCAATGAAATTTCGACCAAATATGTGTTTACTGTGACTAGTTGTGACCGATTGTCACTGGTTAATTGTGACTCGTTGTGACCAATTGTGATCGATTGTGCCTTATTGTAACTTGAAATTTTGGAAATTTTTTGGAAGTTGGGAGTTGGTGGATGGGATGGGTAGGTTGATCGGAGCATGCGTTGGAGTGGTCATTGGAGCAGTTTACCGGAGGGATCGCCGAATAGACGTCAGAGCGGGCGTCAGAGTGATCGGCTATATAGTCGTCAGAGGCCGGGGTGATCGGCGGAGGGACTATAGTAAAACTTTTCTCAAACCTGGACACCCTCCAGTGTTTTTTTAAGTTAATGTCATAAATAAAGAGAAATAAATGAAAAGGGGAAAATCTAAAGGAAGAGAAATGTTTAATCTGAGATTTTCTGGAATTTTTTAAGTTGCCGGAGCGGCCGCCGGAACTGTCGCCGGAGTAGATGACCGCCTCCGATCGAGAGAAAAGGTAGGGAAAGGGTAGAGAGTAGAGAGAGAGAATGAGAGAATGATTTGAATTTGAAATTGAAATTTAATAAATTGGGGTAATTATATTATATTATAATTAAAAAATTTTAATAAATTGATTTAACGCCTGATTCTTGAAAAGATTTTTGGAGTTTATTATTTTTGAAATGTAATTCTTCTATTTAGGATTTATGTATTGTTCCCATTATTTTATTGAAAAATGTGTGGTTGAAAATAAGTAGAATAAAAACAGACTACAATGCCCATAACCAAGTCTAAAGTTAAACGTAAAATGGATCAAATCGGACTACTATGGGCCACGACAGCCAACAAAGCCCATTTTAAACTGCTAGTTGGGCTCAATGGCCCAAAAATAAATCTTAACTGTATTTTCTCACATGATTCAATATTCATCACATAGTTTCAAAAGAGAACCACTTGAAAATGCAGAAAGAAAACATAACAAAAAGCAGTTAACATGGTCCGTGATACTAAGTATACAATAAAGACTATCAACAAATATACACATCGAGCTTGCCTAAACATCCAAGTTATAAACAAATGGAGGAGAATAATGCATCTTCCAGCTAATCCTCAGATTCTGCATCAAGTAACCATGATAAGTATTGTGGACCCTCGCGCATAACAGGATCTGATTCACTAGGTGGTATAACCCTTTTCCACATCAGAGTCTCAATAACCGGGTACTTTCTTTTCCTGCCACCTCTTGATCTTAATTGAAATTGCTCATTAGCCTCTTCGAAATTTCCCTGAACACAGGTGGCCATAAATCTCAAATATCAGATATATCTCCTGTAAAGCAAGAGGTCAAAAAGAAATTGTTGGACTGTAATATGATGAAGCATTTTGATTTTTAGGGAAAATGATGAAGATTGTTTTTAGTGGCCTCGCGGCCTCAGCCCCGCTTTGTGGCCATGGGGATAAACTGTGCAATGAAATTTCGACCAAATATGTGTTTACTGTGACTAGTTGTGACCGATTGTCACTGGTTAATTGTGACTCGTTGTGACCAATTGTGATCGATTGTGCCTGATTGTAACTTGAAATTTTGGAAATTTTTTGGAAGTTGGGAGTGGGTGGATGGGATGGGTAGGTTGATCGGAGCATGCGTTGGAGTGGTCATTGGAGCAGTTTACCAGAGGGATCGTCGAATAGACGTCAGAGCGGGCGTCGGAGTGATCGGCGGAATAGTCGTCAGAGGCCGGGGTGATCGGCGGAGGGACTATAGTAAAACTTTTCTCAAAGCTGGACACCCTCCAGTGTTTTTTTAAGTTAATGTCATAAATAAAGAGAAATAAATGAAAAAGGGAAAATCTAAAGGAAGAGAAATGTTTAATCTGAGATTTTCTGAAATTTTTTAAGTTGTCGGAGCGGCTGCCGGAACTGTCGCCGGAATAGATGTCCGCCTCCGATTGAGAGAAAAGGTAGGGAAAGGGTAGAGAGTAGAGAGAGAGAGAGAGAGAGAGAGAGAGTGAGAGATTTGAATTTGGATTTGAAATTTAATAAATTGGGGTAATTATATTATATTATAATTAAAAAATTTTAATAAATTGATTTAACGCCTGATTCTTGAAAAGATTTTTGGAGTTTATTATTTTTGAAATGTAATTCTTATATGTAGGATTTATGTATTGTTCCCATTATTTTATTGAAAAATGTGTGGTTGAAAATAAGTAGAAGAATAAAAACAGACTACAATGCCCATAACCAAGTCTAAAGTTAAACGTAAAATGGATCAAATCGGACTAATATCGGCCACGACAGCCAACAAAGCCCATTTTAAACTGCTAGTTGGGCTCAATGGCCCAAAAATAAATCTTAACTGTATTTTCTCACATGATTCAATATTCATCACATAGTTTCAAAAGAGAACCACTTGAAAATGCAGAAAGAAAACATAACAAAAAGCAATTAACATGGTCCGTGATACTAAGGGTCCGTTTGATTGTAAGGGTGGAAAATGGGTGGAAAGAAAATGTTTTACAGGGAATTGATTTTCTTAGAAAATGTTTTACTGGGAATTGTAATTAATTGTGTTTAATTTGTATAATTTTCCATGGAAAATGTTGAAAATTTGGTGTCCATTTGACTTCGTTTTTTATGGAATTTGTCCATTAAAATGATATTTTTTTTTCTACTATTGAGTCTACATTTGTTCACATTGTCAAAAAAAAATTTTGAAAAAAAAAAATTTACCATACCGATTATCATTCATTTGACTTTATTTTGCATCAAAGTTGTAGATAAAAGTGAATTTTTT